ATGGTTCTTCCTACATCATTATAATTTGCAAAGATTTGACATAGAACACTGCTCTACTTCACTGCATACCACTTCCAAAGGGGAAAGATTTCAGAGCCAACTGTGTATTAGAAACCACAAATGAGGGGCTGGGGATTTAGCTCTGTGGTTTCGCCACCTGCTGAGCAAGCGCAAGGACCCGAGTTCGATCCCCAGTACAAAAAAAAAAAAAGAGAAAGAAACCACAAACGAGACCAAAAATCAAAAATTGAAATGAATCAAGTATCAATCACTAGTGAGGTCTGCATTCTGCCCTGGTCACAATATGGCAAGACTGCACCCATTAGAGTTCATGACTCTGCATTATTTTCAGATCACTGATCAATTAATTAGCAACTCTCTCAGGGCCAGACGGATAAATTGAAAGAAAATTCAAAAAGTCTAGGTGGACTAATATCTCAAAAGTATGAGACAAAGCCACAGATTTGTTATTGATATTTGTCAAGAAGCAGTAAATAAGTTGAAATTGAAAACACATCCCCCTTTTAAGGAAAGACTCCAACTGATTAGAGCAAAGCTTAAGCAAGTTCAAGTGTGACACAGTTATGATTCATTGTCAAGAGTGGATTACACAGACCACTAGTCTCTTTAGTCATGACATTTTAAGCACTCAAAGTAATCATTTTCAAAGGGGTTGCATAACAAACTGGTAGCACTATATTTTTCTTAATTTCTTCCTAATATGAGGAGGTTCACAGCAGAATTATAGAATTTCTTTGTGTGTGAACTAAAATAACTTTGGCATGATGCTACAAGAATGGTTCCTTCCACAAAGTCTATAAATGGAATAGTAGGCTGTTGGAGATGCTTCCATGGTTTGGAGGGCATAAAAGTTTCTCATATGTTTCAGGTCATTTTGATAAGAGGAAGCTACATTCCCTCACTACTGCTACTGCTATGAGTTTGCAATGAAAAAGTCTTCCTTTTGGAATTTTTTTTTAGGTTGAACCCAGAACCTCATGCTGGACAGATGCTACCACTGAGCTACAGCCCCAGCCCAAGGAACTATCTTCTTGAGATGGCTTACTTACAAATTTGCAGACTTCTGCAAGAATAACTCTACTCTCATAGTCACTCAAGAGCCTATTTGAGCCTCTAAGTGCACTGAGAATAAGTTTTCAGAAACCAGAATTATTTGTAAGTGAATCAAGATCATTCTCTGCTCTCAAGCTCTCACTTTCTTGCTATGTAGCCATTGCTACAGCTGGTCAGTTTGTGCATTTGACCAATATATAATCTATCATCTTGGAATACAGGAAATAAAAGTTATATAATATACCTTTTCTTTTTTACAAAAACAGAAAAAAAAAGTCATCAACAGTGTCACAAAATTCCAACCCTCTAAAACTTTGTCAGAGATGACTGTAACTTTTAACAATTCTTCATCAACAAAGAAATGATTGGCTAGAAAATTTCTGGAGAGTTGTACATAGCTGCTGGGTCAAGCTCTGGGACAAGAGATTTATAGAGATGTTAGGATTTTGCCATGAGCGTAGTCAGCGTTCAGAAGTGTATGTGAAGGACCTGCTGTCTGTAGTTACTTGTATGTATAGCCAACCTTTGATCTCTTTATACTCTTACAAGACTGGGATGATATTAGTCTGGTCTCTGATTGGGTGGATACCTTCCTCCAACTGAGTTTTATTATTTATTTATTTATTTATTTTGGTACTGGGGATCGAACTCAGGACCTTGTGCTTGCAAGGCAGGCAGCGGAACCACTGAGCCAAATCCCCAGCCCATGAGTTTTATTTTTAATACTGTTGGTTTATACTCAAAGGCACAGTGAAAAAAAAAAAAGCCCAAGATAAATTTTCTTATAGTATTGTACTTTAATAATATATTTTATCTTATTCCCCATTCAGTAGTCTTGATTTATAAAATGAGTAACAAAACTTTGTCTTGGAACTCAGTAGCTAGGAAAAATTACTTCCTTTAAGGAACTATGGGCTCCTTTGGAAAATGGCAACCATGTAACTGGTTAGGGCACTTTGTTACCAGGAAGCTCAGTGTTTTAATTTGTTCAACAGTGTTTTTAATGCCTGTAATTTTCCATCCTCCGGTCTCAATCTCTTGAGTAGCTGGGATTACAGGTATGTGCCACCACCCAGGTTCCTGGGACCCTATTTTATACTAAAAACATTTATACTTATAAATACTTATTTTAAAATTTACTGGCTCTTTTAGAGTTGTTCAAATCTCTGTTCAGTGAAAAGGTGGTAGAAGTAAATGTTAAAAAAAAAATCACAAAGGGATCTGGATCAGAAACAAAAGTGAAATGACTCCATGCAATTCCCATGGAATTACTTCCTTAGTAGTGAAATCAATGCACTGTAGTTTACCCCTTGAGAATTAAGCCTGGGGTTCTTTTTCTTTCCTGACTAAATGTAACCTTGGGAAAGTCGGCTAGAATCTCTGCCCTGGGGAGATCAAATTCTAAGGAATTTGCTAATTCATCATTTCCACCACACTCACAGCATGTTTGTTAGAATTTTATGTTCAAATCTCCTTTTTTCTTTATAAATGAATGTGAGAGGAAATATGGTTAAAAGCATCTATTGAGTATTTTGCCTTCCCCCTCATTAATGCATGAGCAATTTGGTCACTTATGTTATTTATAAATAAAATTAGGTGACAGAGAAACTTAGTCATTCTTGATGGCAAAACTTCAAGTGGTGAAAAATTTTAAAATGTTGGTATTAATTTTATTATTTAACGTGGTTCAAAATCCAAAAGTACAAAGTTGTATGGAATAAAAAGTTTCTCTTCAAATTTTGTCCCACCGCTGTCCAACTCCTTTTTCAAGGCTAAACCAATTTTATCAGTTTCTAGTTCTGTACCTTTTCAGATAGTATTTGCTTCTACAAACATAAGTGTACATGTATACAGATATGTTATATGCACACAAGTGTATATCATTTCCTCCTACATGTTGGAAATTGAAGCATATTACATAGTTGTTTTAGACTTTAAAATTTTACACATAAGATATCTTGTAGATCATTTCATAGATTTCATTTCATAGTAAAGAGCTTTTTCATTCTGTTTTTAGTCTTCAAAGCATTTCAGTTTATGGTTGTATCATGCATAGAGGAAAAATATGCTTATTTATTTTTAGGACCAAGGACCACAAAGTTATGTGGAGTTATTATCTCATCCTTAGTATTGTTCCTGGAGTCTCTAGCAGGTCAGCATTAGAGTTCAGAGATTGGGAACATGGCAATATGCCCAGAGCCAAGATGGAAAGAAGAGCCAATAGGTCCCATTTCATGAATATTTGCCTTGACATAGTCCCGGATGATGTCCTTAGAAGATAACTTTTGCTTTTATGTGGATGCAATTAGAAGCTAAGCTTCAGATTTCTCATTGCCAATAAAAGTAGTTCTAATTACTTAGCAGCTGGTGTTTTTGTCTTTTGTATTCTCAATTTATAGAAAAATGAAATAAAACAGGTTTTATATTTATAGAGATAACTAAACCTCACAATAGAACTGTGCGGGGCTGGGCCAAATCATCCAGGTCATAGGAAGGTTATAAAGATTAAATAATATGCTTAATACAAGGAGTGTTCTGCTTAGGGAAGAGGCATGTTGCTAATTAACATAATTGTCTCATGACGTGCAGGAAAAACAAGATCATTGGCTTTTTGTGCATCTTGTTTTGGTGTGCGTACTTTTCCCTAATGAAGAATTATCCGATGGTGTTATGCTGTATCTGTTTAAATTAGTCACGTGCCTTTCTCTAAAGTCATAGATCACGTTAGTGTCTGTCTTTATAACAGGGACTTCAAAAACAGGTGAGAGGTGTCATTATATAATGGAATAAAAAAAAAAGATTAGAAGTTAGGCCTGCTGGTTATGCCTCACTAGTTGTGTGACCTTGCGCAAGTCATTTGACCTTTCTAGCTTCAATTTCCTTACTTGAATAATGGAGATAATAATCTGACCTATATACACCTGCGTCTTGTTATCGGGAATAATGGACCATTGTACATGTTAAAAGGCTTTACTAGTATAAACTGCAATATATCCGTTCATCTAATATTCATGGTAGAGACAACTTCGTGAAATGCAGCATCCTCAGACTTTTTTTCCTCAGAAAAAGCTTTCTTAAAATGCTTTTAGCAAAACCACGCCAGGTTTTTGTTTTTAAGTTGGACTCTGGTTGTGTGACATTTAATCGTTCTGTAATGTTATATCTCTCATAAGCAGAATATCATGTTTTGAAAAGCTTTCGTCAAAAATTTATCTTATTGAAGAAAATATAGGCCTAAAAGTTAGCTTTGGATAAAACTTGCTGTTCAGCAAGTATCAAAGACTTTGTGTTTAGAGAAAAGGGTCTAAACTAGGTCCGCCTTAGTTTTCCTGCCTAGTGTTCTATTCCTTCCACATTTCATCGGAAGATCTAACAGCTGGAGTGCTCATTTCTTTAATCTTTAGTAGGTGCTTGCTAACAATCCTCTCGGAAGTAGTAGGAAGACCATTCAGACGGCCAGCGAGACTCTTGGTAAGACAATCCCTGCCGGCCCCCCCAGGCCTTCACTAAGAGACCAGTAACTTTCCCACCGCCCCACCCCGGTGCTCAGGCTTCGCGGCTTGCCCAAGGCCGGAGGGCTCAGAAGTACACAGGCGGCCTGAGGGCAGTGGGAGGAGGCAGATTCCCTCTCCAAGTCTGGGCTGACCTGGGGCCCTAGCCACGGGCACAGCACAGCTCTGGACGACCGCGGGGACCCGTGTGGCGTGGGGACGCCGGGTTTAGCCAGGTGCGCAGCGAGTACCCCCTGGCACCGCGGCGTACGTGGCAACAGGTGTAGCGCAGACCCGGGGGCGCGTCCGCCCTCGGCCGGGGACCTCGCAGGGCGTGGGGATCGGGACATTCGAGGGCGGAGGGCGGGCGGGCGGGCAGCCCAGCCCAGCCCAGCCTGCACCCCGAGGTGCCGCCCCGCGCGTCCTTCGGCTGGTCCAGGCGCAGCCCCTGGGACGCCACCCGCCTTTGTTTCCTGCCGCGAGGCGCGGGCGGGGTCGGCTCGCAGGGAGCCGCAGCGGGTGAAGGGGGGCCGAGGCTGCTGCGCTTTTTCTATTTACAAGTTTCCCGAACTCCCCACCCTTGCTCCACCCCCTGGTGGCTGGGAGGCGGGGAAGCCCAGCGCCGGGACTGCAGGTTCCCCCTGGGCAGCAGCGCCGCCGGGAGCTGCTGGTGGGGTCGAGCTGCGCCCCAGGTGCGGACCCCACCGGGTCGACCCCTGGTTGACCCCGAGCGCCGCTGCCGAGGGTGCCGGGGGCCGGGCTCCGGTGCTCGGCTCCCCGCCCCAGGGCTCGCGTGGCTCCCGGCCCTGCGGGTGAGTGCGGACTGGATCGCGGGAGCGGGTGCGGAGACTGCGGCGATGCTCTGGACCGGGCTCGGTTCCGAGGAGGGGGCGGGGATGACAGGGTAGTGGGTGCCAAAGTTGGGGGAGAAAGTGGGGAAGCGGCCCGGGGAGGAGCGGAGGCAGGGCTCACGTGGGGCCAGCCCAGCTCCTGCGGGAGGGACGGTTGCGGATCTTGCTGTCACCTTGAAAGTGATTCAAGGGGTTTGAAGTAGACTTGGCAGACGGTCAGGCGTGCGCAGCTCACCAGCCGCTTGACCTTCCAGGGCCTGCAGCCCCCGACTTCTCGCTGGGCGATTTGCTTGGGCCTTTTCGCGGCAAAATAATCAGGCTGAAAACGTGGGAGAAATGTGGTTGCCGCAGGTCCTCTCGCTGTGTCTTATTATTTCCTGCGCCTGGCTTGTACTTTTTAGGCTCTAGAAAAATCCACTTATAACTAAGGTCACCTCATGGAGTACTCAGTAGTAATTGGTGGACTTTAGGTGTTTACTTACCTTACTATGAATCTTTTGGCTCTTTTTAAAGATATTCTGTATATTGCTACATTATTTGTTGATTTTCACCTGGAATAATTTACTTGAGGGTGAGAATGAAGAGGTTTGTTTTTTATTTAACCTTCGTGGTTGTGCTTACTCTATCAAATACAATTTAAGTAGTCGGTATTCTAAGAAAGGAAATCCAGTGTATTTTGTTTGAATAAAACCGAAATCTTAGGCAAAACAGGAGGATGAAAGCTTTTATGTGTTGCCAGGTGATTGGAGTTCAGTCTTCCTGTACTGAATCTCAGGGCTGAGGTGGAGGGTGGGAAGGGGATTCCAGGCAGAGGAAGCCCAGCCAGGAGGGAGGGGGCTAAAAAAACCCCCTCTTTGCTCTCTGTGACCCATGACCTCATTAGGGAGCCTAAATACAGACAGATAACAATATGGATACTTTTTAAAAGAACTGCGTAAATGGAATTGCAGTTCCGCAGACTTTTCAGGGGTGCTTAAATTAAAATGACGGTACCCTAATTTCTATAGAGTATTACAGTGTAGAAAAGCGCTTTTCTACAATTTTTCTTAAGAACTGTATTATGTTAAAAAAAAAAAAGTTATACCAAAAAAAGTTTGAGCTATTTGCTTATCCTTAAAAAATAAAACTTAGGAATGGACTTTAATTTAAAATAAGTTTTTTATGTAATTTGCACCACCTTTTCCCATCTGTTTTCTCTGCCCCCTCCAGGACCCTCTTGGTGCTAAGCACATGCTCCACCACTGAGGGATGTATGTCTCCTAGCCCCACAACCAGCTCTTTAGAACCAGGTTTATGTGGAGTATTCTTGGTAGAGATCTGCACCTTTTAATTAAATGTCAGTGATTTAAGGTTAACTTTTGTAATGTTTAAAAAATTGTGAAATTCTACAGAAACTTCGTACAGTATTTCTTGGAAACTAAAATTCAGTTATTAGATTAAAGCATTTTAAAAAAATCACCTAATGCCAGAGATGGTGATACATCTGTGATCCCAATACTCTGGGAGGCTGAGGCAGGAGGGTTGCAAGTTGGAGCCCAGCCTGAGCAACTTAGCAAGACTCTTTTTCAAAAATTAAAATTAAAATTAAATAAAAAAGACTGGGGATGTAGCTCAGTGAGAAGGCCCTGAGTTCCATCCCCAGCATCACACACACAATCTAGTTGTTTCGGTTGTATTCATTTTTAATTGAATGTTAGTACCAGATTTTTCTCTTCACGTGTTAATTTTTTCAATTGGTAAGAGCCTTTTATGGATTCTTAGTAAACATTCACTCTTCACATTGCACATATTTTCTTCACATTGTCTTTGCCTTATAAATATGTTTAGAATGGTCCTGATTTATAGAAGTACTGTACTTCAATGTTGAATCTGTTGATGTTTTCAAAAAGAATTTTTAACACCTCTAAATCATAGTTTAAGAATTATACTTCTATGTGGCTGTGGTATAATATTTTTACAAGAAATCCCCTCCCCATTCTTTTCAAATCCTTTACAACTTCTATGCCTAGAGTAGAGACTTTTGCAAAACTTTTGCATTTGTTGATGAGAAATTCTTGTGTATGGCATGTGTCATTAGGACCAACATTCTTTGAAATCACACCACAATGTTTTAAATCCCAGGGATTGAGTCATTCAGATTTGTTGTGCAGTGATTGTGTAAATTAGGTACACAATCCGTTTATTTTTTATTTCCAGTAGTCCACTTATAGTGGTATTTTAAGACTTCTTTTTAGATTCATTATTCTAGTTTCCTATACTGAATTGTTGATGAATCTTGAAGTCCAGACATATGTATGTGTAGTTTGAAGTTTTTCCCAAATTAATTTCTAACATTATGAATAAACTGAGGGAGACAAAAGCCTCCCTGATTTCCTAAATTTGAGCTATCTTTCTATACTATGGAAGTTTAAATATACTCAGTGAGTTTAAACTCACTGAGTTTTCTATCAGAGCCTGAGTCCTTTTCTTTTGTTGTCCATCCTTGAGCTAAGAATATACTTGAGTGAGGAGGAGATTGATATTCAGGTGTTTTGGGGCATTAAAAATGGCCCTAGACTTTCTCTGGAGACAGGTGGGCCAAGGACGAGGTAACTGCTTAGCTGGTAGGTGCTTGGAAGTGGCAACTGTGACCTCCAGGGGAGTTAAGCGGTGGTGACCAGGATGAGGATCCCATCATGCAGGAAAAGAAGGACTATCCTAGATAGGGTAGTTTGACTTAACCGGCCTGAAATCTGGTTCCAAAAAGATTCTTTGGCCAGAAGTCTCCGTACTTGGCTTAGGATAGCCTAGTATTACCAGGCATTATATTTGTCTGGCAGATTTATTTCTAAAGTTTTGTGAGTGCCTTGATTATAGTTTTGTGTGTGTGTGTGTGTGTGTGTAAGGAGTTGGGGACTGGACCCAGCACCTTGCACATGCCAGAGAGGTGTTCTACCCCTCAGCTGAATCCCCATCTCTTGATAGTTATGTTTTAAAAAATGACTTCAGTATGCTTTGAAATCAGTTATTACTCTTTCATATGGGCAGTTTTCCATAATAATATTAATCTATGATTTTTTTTCTTGTTCACTTGGTCCAAACTGAAGGAAAAAGATTTTTCATTTTAGGAATGACAGATATGAAGGCAAATCTTTACTGTGTGGAAAGGTACAATAAAACTTCATTTTCATATATGGCATAAACAAATTTGCATTTTGTGATTGTCCTGATGTCCAAATATTACATAATCAAGGAAGAAAGGAACTGGTTGTTGGGGTGCATGCTTGTAATCCCAGCACACCGGGAGGCTGGATGTATGTGGCTTAGTGTGAAGGTTCAATCCCAAGTACCACTAAAAAGAAAGAAAGGGTTTGCTCAACAAATTGAGTGAATCAGGTTGATTAATAACTAGCTTTTAAGCATTTCAGAAGTACATGCTGCTACGTAAATCTTTGATTTACAAAACCTAATTTGTTCGTTGAAGAAGCTATTGCATTTTCCTTAAACTTAGTTTAAGTTCCATATCAAATAGTAATAGAAATGTATTGATTGTTGCTTGTAGACTCATATGTAAATTAAGAATGTTCTTGGGGCCCAGGATTTAGCTCAGTGGTTCTGCCACCTGCCCTGCAAGCACAAGGACCCGAGTTCGATCCCCGGTACCAAAAAAAAAAATTAAGAATGTTCTTCTTTACATATTAGTTACATGAATAAAAGTAAGAAAAACAACACATCTTGCCTTCATTGTAATTTAGAAATGTTTGTCCTGAAGATGTAAAAGTGAATACAGGTAATTTCTTTTTCCAGGACTGGGAATTGAACTTAGGGCCTTTGCACTAAGCTATACCACCAGCCCTTTTTTACTTTGAGGCAAGATCTCACTAAGGCATTAAATTGCCCAGACTCAGCTGCCTCAGCCTCTCACAGTGCTGGAATGACCATGCCCAGCAAAGTAAAGGTAGTTTTAATGCCACTTTCTCCTGAGAAACATGCTTGGTGTGTGAGTAGAGTTTTGTTTTGTTTTGTTTTTTGGTATTGGGGATTGAACTCAGGTCCTTGCACTTGCACAGCAGGCGGCGAAACCACTGAGCTAAATCCCTGGCCCCAGTGTGTGAGTAGAGTTGACAAGCATCTTTTTGAGTGGTAAAAGAAATGCAGATCTGAGTTTCTCAAACTATCTAGGAAGGACAAAGATTGCAGGCAAAGGACTTCCAGGGAGTACAGTTGTGCCTGAAACTTCACAGATTTCATATTTTAGTGAGGGTTGTGCTGGTGGAAGGGCAGGCCCAGTCAGTGTCCCCAAGTGCCAGTGTGGCGAAAGGGATGGACAGACTGAGAACACATCAGGCTTCTAGGTATCATGCTTTGGAAAGGGAATTTTAAATTATTATGTTACCTTGGTATCATTTAAAAAAAATACAGACCTTTGTGACTTGTAAATTAATTGTATTTTAAGCTCAATGCAAAAGAAAATAAAACTAGTTCTTGAAGGGCAATCAAAGTACTCTAATCTTCCATGCTAACAAAAACATTTCAGGAAATTTTGGGTCCTAGATTGACATTGAGAAAGGAATCCTCTGGGAAATATCTATATTTATCAGAACAGTAGGAAAAAGGTAAATACAGTATATATTCTTATGTAAATATAGTATAAATAATGTTTATGACAGTATTCGTTAAATCTTGACTATTGGGGTGTTAGCTTATTGTCTACACTATTTCTACATTGGAAACTTGGTAATATTTAACTCGTGTTATTTATGTGTATACCCATGCTGAGGGAAAAGTCAGTATTTCTTTTTTTTTTTGTATTAAATTCTTTTATTGGTACATTGTAGGTATACAACACAATTACATTTCTCATTGGGAATTGTACCTTTACATAATGCATCTTGGTTCTTATTTTTTCCCCATTCCTAGCCCTCCCTTCATGCCCTCCACCCTTCCCTATTTACAAAGACTTTATTTCCATTTTTTCCATT